ATTTTCCCGTGTGATTTTATCAAGATATATATATATATATATATATATATATATATATATATATATATATATATATATATATATATATATATATATATATATATATATATAAATATATATTTATTTACTTCTGACAGGTATTAAACGATCACGTAGATCTTAAAAATACATGTATAACAAAATTTTTATTCAAAACGTAACAATGTAACGTAACGTAACCTATCCTTTCTTAACCTACCTTAGGTATATTTTAGCTATATTATGATGGCAATCCACGCCTCACATAAACAGAACGATGTTGACCAAATACGAATTAGTTTCCATTGACTTAGAGCAATAAAAACAAAAATATATTCCTATTCGATAAAAACCTCACTTGCTTTTTAGGGTTTAAGCTGCATTTTCCCTATTTAGTGAAACATGTACAGTATATATGCACCCAGGAAAATATAGAAAATAAACTGAAATTTTACCAGCCATTTTATTTAAAACGTATAAAAATATTTATCCTTACCCCCATTATTTGTATACTGTACATCAAGCCAATACTCGTAAAATACCGTAATGGCACATACACCCATAGTAACACTGACAGTCTCCAGACAAACAGCTATATTACTGTATATATTACTGTATATATATAAAAAATATGCAGCAGTTAAAGCTACAAATAATGCTAAATTATGTAATATACTGGCAAAATATATGTAACTAGGTCAATACCATGTCACACTACAACACCAAATTATTCTCACAATCATTACATCATAACACCATTGATGCTAAGGACATTGATGCTAAGGGAGGCAACTTCTCTTAAAAAATTAGTAGCGGTTGTCTCCTGGCAGTGCACGCAGTGTTGCGTACTGGGAATAACCAAGATCGTCTTTAAGAAACAGCTGGTTGTGTGAACCCTTGACAATGTTACTGTGTCATAGCTGCCCCTCCTGTATACCAGTACCCCCACGAGACAGCTGCCCCTTCTACCAATACCTCCACTTCCCAGCTGCCCCCTTGTATACCAGTACCTCCACTTCGCCAGCTGCCCCTCCTGTATGCCATTACCTCCACTTCGCCAGCTGCCCTTCCTGTATACCAGTACCCCAACGTCCCAGCTACGTCTCCCATATGCCAGTTCCTCAACGTCCTAGCTGTCCCTCCTATACTGTATACCAGTACCTCCAAGTCCCACCTGTCCCTCCTATATACCAGTACCTCTACCTCCCAGCTGCCACTCCTCTATACCAGTACCTCCATGTCCCAGCTCCCCCTCCTATATACCAGTACCTCCACCTCCCAGCTGCCACTCCTGTATACCAGTACCTCCACTTCCCACCTGCCCCTCTTATATACCAGTACCTCCATGTCCCAGCTCCCCTTCTGTATACCAGTATCTTCACGTCTCACTTACCCCTTCTGTACACCAGTCCCCTCACATCCCAGCTACCCCTACTGTATTTCAGTAACCCTACGTTCCACCTGCCCCTCCTGTTTACCAGTACACCCTACATCCCAGCTGCCCTTCCTGTATACCGGTAACCCTACTTCCCAACTACTCCACTTGTATACCAGTACACCCACACCTCACCTGCCCCTCTTTTATACCATTACCTCCACTTCCCAGCTGCCCCTTCATTATGCCAGTACCCTCACGTCCCAGCTGCCCCTCCTGTTTACTAATACCCCCCACGTCCCAGCTGCCCCTCCTGTTTACCAGTAATCTGCCGGACTGACACCACCAATATAAGGGGCCTACAGCTCTTTCCGTGAGGCAGACAGGGAGAGACAAAACTCAGAAGCAGATGGAGTCACACTTTTTACAAGTCAAGGTTCGGGAGAGGGACTTCTCTTTCCAGCACCAAGTCCACAGCTAGCAGAGTCTCCCACAGGAGACAGAGTCTAGCAACCGCCGGGGCCACTCTCTTCAGCAGCACCAGGCCCTGCAGACACAACCCCCAGCCGCTGGTACTCCCTCAGGTCACACGTGAGTCATTGTCAGAGCGATCCATAGGGTGAGTTACGTATGGTGGGAAGTGTATCCATTTCATGTTTGTGTCCGGGAGTCATTGTCTAGTAACGTCGATATGATGATTTATTCGTGTGTCTCTGCCATTCAGTTAACTAAGAAATAGCTGTACTTGGAAGTGTTGTTAACATGATTTCCCCTAAGAACATATTAACCGTTAAATAACTAATCGGCCACGCTACCAACTTCCCTCACTTTACAATTCTACAACTTTAAATTCTACCTTTACCTTCTACCTGAGCTTACCCTCATTATCAATACCTCCAGAGCCATAAACACATCCAGGACCACAAACACCTCCAGAACCACAAACACCTCCAGAACCACAAACACCTCCAGAACCATAAACACCTTCAGAACCACAAACATCTCCAGAACCAAAAACACCAACAGAATCACAAACACCTCCAGAACCACAAACACCTCCAGAACCACAAACACCTCCAGAACCACAAACACCTTCAGAACCACAAACACCTCCAGAATCACACATATAGCTAACAAGACAAGTACAACTTAAGCATCACCCACAACCTCAGCATTATCTACACCCCCAACATATTTATGAACCCAGCATCAATAATATCCCCAGTTTCACCTACAACCTAAACAAATTTGGCAACTCAGCATCTTTAACAACCCCAGCATTATTAACAACTTCAGCATTACCCACAACCCCAGCATATTTAACAACCGAGCATCTTCAACAACCCCAGCATATTTAACAACCGAGCATCTTCAACAACCGCTAGCATCATTAACATCCCCAGAATCATTAACAAATCCAGCATTACCCACAACCCTAGCATATCTAACAACTCAGCATCCTTAACAACCTCAGCATATTTAACAAGCCCAGAATGTTCAACAATCCCAGCTTCACCCATAACCCTAGCATCACCTACAACCCCAGCGTCATTAACAACCGCAGCATCACCCACAACTTCAGCATTACTCACAATCCCAGCATCACTCACAACAGCATCACCCACAACCTCAGCACATGTATGACTCTAGGTCTAAGCGGATACCACCCGTCCGCCTCTCTATCACTCAGTAATTCACAACACCAAGTAAGGTGTAACACACGTGTTCAAGTAGACAGATACATAGACATATAAATTAATAGCTTTCTAATATGAGATCCTATACTAAATACATGATTTGCTTGAGCAATGACTCCTTACCGCCTCTTCTCACAAGAGCGAAATAATCATCACAAACTTAAGACTTATAATGTACATATATTTATTATAAAAGCAAAGATATCATCCACTTATTTGAAATTGTTATGCATAATCGCGCGTGGATCAACAGCTTGTCAGACTGCACAATAAGCTCAGTGTTAATCCCTCGCATCTGATCCTTCAACAAATTCAGTAATTTCCTCGAGAGAAAAACGTTCATGTCACATTTTTCCCGTGCGAGGACACCAATATTTGTTTTTTTCATAAAAAAAAATATGATAAGACTTCAGATAACTGGCGGTAGAAATAGGATAAATTGGTTAGTGTGTGACAGGAGCCGTCAAGATGCATGAGATACATAGGGCGGCAGAACGTACACGGCCATGACTTTGCCATAGCCAGGGAGAGGAGCACAGATCATTGCAGATCAATAACCGCACCACGTTGCTAGCACTCACTTGCACACGTACTCCCGTTGCTAAGCATGGCGATCGTCTCCCTGGAGTTGACATGTCTTACCACTATAACCCTATCCACAAAAATTCACGCTCCCCTCTACACACTCTTTTCATATTCCAAATGAAAAGTTGACGGGAGTAGCATTTTCATTATTTGTCCAATTTAAGGACATTGGTTCCTCCTGATAATGACGGAAACCATAACTATCTTATATTGTAACATAATAATCACTTGCAGTATTATATGAACTCATTAAAGACATGTGCCTTTACACTCACTCCGGAGATGAACAAGCTCACTTCCAGTCCGTCTCAGTACGGGATTTGTCGACTGGTTCCCTATTAATGTGTGTGGCTCCCTTTGCAATTTTTCTCTTAATGTGTTTTCTTTGAGTAATAATTTTTGTTACTAAAATTTTGCTTTTCTTTTATTATAGTTTTTCGTGTTTCGTGTCATATCCTTGCATATTCTTTATTTCTTTAACTCTTCGTATATATCAGTTCCATAACACATAAACGTGTAATACTTCGTGAGGGAACACTGGCAGGGAATAACACATGTTTATTTTGCGTGTCAGGTGTTACAAAGCTTCAATACTTTTAAAACATTTTCTAGTTGAAGTTAATACTATATATGATGTGCTGCTTAAGCCTTGAGGGAACAGCGTGTTAAGTTTATTGTCTTGTGACCCAGCGTAATACAGATAGGCCACCATGAATATAAGGTGTGGTCCTTAGTGTGACTTCTTAAAACTGTTCCATGATAAAAATAAATAAATAAATAAATAAATAAATAAATAAATAAATATATATATATATATATATATATATATATATATATATATATATATATATATATATATATATATATATACAAGTAAATCACTGTAGGTGCGCGTGATCTAGGTATATGCTGATAACAAAGGAAAGAAAACACGAAGTTCCTTTCTTCTATATATATATATATATATATATATATATATATATATATATATATATATATATATATATATATATATATATATATATATATATATATATATATATATATATATATATATATATATATAGGTATTACTGTTGGACAGACACCTCTACCCGAGAAACCAGGTTTAACAACAAATATTTCGGCCAAGAAAATATGTAATTGAGAAATTCTTGTCAATATCACATGCACACTGATATGGGGGTAATAAATCACTGTAATGTCACGGGCTTCGCGGCCACCTAAAATTTCTCGTAGTTAGTGTATTTTTGGACACTAGATCTATTGGTACGAGGTATTTTAGAGAATGGCACACCTATGGAACTACTCGTGATGACACTCACAATGCAGTAACGTTCAACAGCTGCCAGCAAGGGTGGTTCCTTGCTGTGCGTGCATGAGAAGCGCGGACCACGACGTATATCCCTTACCACGATGTGAACCACACTGAGGCTGCAAGGTTGTCCGCGACTCCGCGGAGTCCGCGGTCCGCCCAGCACATCCTAGGCTGGCCCCGCCCACTAGTGCCCACACCCACCTTATCTGGACTAAGAGAGTGGATTTGTGGGCATGAGTTGGTTGGATTTTACTTTTATGAACGTTTGAAAGTAGTCTCACTGACTATAAAACAGAAAAAAACACGTTAACATTATAGTCGTAACAAATTAACAAAATGTTGTAGGTACAGTAATGGTGGTGGCGATGGTAATGAAGGTGGTAGTGGTAGCGGCAATGGTGGTGGTGATAGCGATGATGGTTGTAATAGTGATGATGGTATTGGTAGTGGTGGTAGTGGTTGTGGTAGTGGTAGTGGTGATAGTGATGTTGGTTGTAGTGATGGTACTGGTGGTGGTAGCAGTGGTAGTGGTACTGGTGGTGGTATCGGTAATAGTGGTGGTGGTAGTGCTGGTAGTGGTGGTGGTGGTGGTGGTGTTGGTGATGGGGTGATAGCAGGAGTGGTGGTAGTGATAGTGGTGGTAACAGTGGTGGTGCTGGTGGTGTTAGTAATGGTGGTGATTATGAAGGTGGTGGTGATGACAGTGGCGGTGGTAGTGGTGGGATTGGTGGTAGTGGTGGGATTGGTGGTAGTGATGGTGGTCGTGGTGAGAGTGGTGGTGGTGGTGGTAAAGGTAGAGCTAGTAGTGGTGGAGGTGGTAATGGTGGTGGTAGTTGTGATGGTTGTGGTGGTGGTGTGGTAATAGTGATATTGGTGGTGGTGGCAGTGGTGGCGGTGGTAGAGATGATGGTGGTGGTGGTGGTGGTGGTGGTGGTGGTAGTGATGGTGTTGCCAGTAGTGATGGTAGCGGTGGTAGCGGTAGTTGTCATGGTGGTAGTGGTAGTGATGGGGTTAGTAGTGGTGGTGTTAGTAGTGGTGGTGTTAGTGATAGTGGTAGTAGTGGTGGTGTTAGTGATAGTGGTAGTAGTGGTGGTGTTAGTGATAGTGGTAGTAGTGGTGGTGGAGGAGGTGGTGATGGTAGTGATGGTGGTGAGGGTAGTGGTATTAGTGGTAGTGGTCGTGGTAGTAGTGATAGTGGTTGTGGTGGTATTGGTGGTGGTATTAGTGGTGGTGGTGGTGATAGTGGTAGTAGTGGTGGTGGTAGTAGTGATGGTGGTAATAGTGATGGTATTGGTGGTGGTGGTGTGGTAATAGTGGTAGTGGTGGAGGTGGTAATGGTAGTGTTGGTTGTGATACTAGTGGTATTGGTGGTAGTGGTAGTGCTGGTTGTGGTAATGGTGGTGGTATTGGTGGTGGTATACAGTAAGTAATGGTGGTGGTGGTAGTGATGGTAATGGTAGTGGTGGTAGTGGTATGGCGGTAGTGGTGGTGTTAGCGATGATGGTAGAGATGGTGGTGGTGTGGTAATAGTGGTAGAGGTGGTAGTGGTGGAGGTGGTAATAGTGGTGGTAGTTGTGATGGTAGTGGTGGTCGTGTGGTAATAGTGATATTGGTGGTGGTAGTAGTGGTGGTGGTTGTGATAGTAGTGGTATTGGTAGTAGTGGTAGTGCTGGTTGTGGTAATGGTGGTGGTATTGGTGGTGGTATAAGTGAAGTTGGTGGTGGTAGTGGTGATGGTGGCGGTGGTGGTGGTAGTGGTGGTGGTAGTGATGGTATTGGTAGTGGTGGTAATGGTGGTTGTGGTAATGGTGGTGGTATTGATGGTGGTTGTAGTGGTATGGCGGTAGTGGTAGTGGAGGAGGTGGTAGAGGTGTTGGTAGTGGTGGTGGTAGTAGTGATGGTATTGGTGGTGGTGATAGTGGTATGGCGGTAGTGGTGGTGTTAGCGATGATGGTAGAGATGGTGGTGGTGTGGTAATAGTGGTGGAGGTAGTAGTGGTGGTGGTGGTGGTGGTGGTAGTGGTAGAGGTGGTAGTGGTGGTGGTGGTGGTGATGGTAGTGATAGTAGTGGTAGTGGTGGTAGTGGTAGTTCCGGTTGTGGTAATGGTGGTGGTATTGGTGGTGGCAATAGTGATGGTGGTAGTGGCGGTGGTGGTGGTAGTGATGGTGAGTACAGGAGGGCGAAGCAATGTGGCTAGTCGCACACTTTGTAAATCACATTTGCGTGAGGGGTATTCAAGCACATTGTGTGTTTAGTTCTATGCATGAGAAATGATATAGCTACTGTAATCGCTCATGGGAACGATTTTGGTTAGTGCAGGACAATAAGGCCCTTGTCGTTGACGCAATGAGTATAATTCGGTCAAAACCTGTAGAATACAATTCACATATAGCAACTGCTGGCACATCAGGACAAAGTTTGAATAATACGATCAATATACAGTAAATAATTGCACTTATAAAGTTATTTACAGTTCTCAGAGGATTCAACAGTTCACAATCACACTCACGTGAACTGTTATAACACTCATAATTCAAATTCAAATAAATAAACAAAAATATTCTAGTAAGACAGACACATGTGGATGAAATAGAAGGCCGCCTGAGGTCTTTTCATTCATTTACAGTGATAAGTATAATTGATCTACATGCAGTTACAGTTCAAAGATTCTGACTTATATGAGTATATAGCTTTGCCATTTTGCCAGCCTCACATACCAGCATATTTTGCATAACACTTTGGTGTTTACTCTGGCTTCTTATAGCCATCACATAGCCGGTCAGATATGAATTTGTGATTGAACGTTAAAGTTAGGCCGAGGTGTAACGCCTATGTACACTCTGCAACAGTTCCGCCTGGTCCACCTGGTCGCAAGATTTGGTTAGCGTGGCAACAGCGCGTGTGTGTGTTCGTGTGTACATGCTCGAAAAATAGTCGGATCATCCTTCGTGAATCACGAGACTCATTAGGGGGAGCCCCTGGGAGTGAGAGGGAGCTTGGCAAGTGAAGGGATGACGGTGAGTTGGGGTCAGGTTGTTAACTCCAGCAGTGTTATAATTTAACAGCTATTTTTTATATATTCATTAAGATCCTTAATGATAAGGAAACCTATATTTTCTTGGTTGCTCTCTCTTTCTCTCTCTCTCTCTCTCTCTTACACACAACATCTTAGCTGCCTATCAGTAGACACTCACAAATTATCAGATTGGGCTAATGAGGAATGACCCAATATAAATATGCGTTTACTTTGGCAATTCTCCATTTGTGTGTGATCATTAACATTACTATTGTACGGTGTTTGTATTCCAGCCCAATGATTGTTGGAACTGCATTGTTCAGTGATGGGTTTGTTCTCTATATCTGAAGCACGTGTCTCTCATGGGTAGTTTGAACCGAGTCATGGTGCGGGATGTAGCCGTATGGCTAGTCACTTGGCTCCCTTCCTCTGACCCAGTTGGTCATCTGCTACTTGTGAGTATTCCATATTATTTAATCTCTTTTTTGGTTTATGGTTCCTTTGATGTTATTTACATTTTAAGGATGCCTTGTGTACTGTTTGTTAATTACTATACATGTACACTTGCACCAAAAAGTATCTGTGCAGGGTGAGATCGACGAGTTCCGAAACGATACATATATACTGTGATATGTCGGGAAGGTTGGCAAGTGTATCCTCATACCCCCCCCCCCCCTTCCACTAGGTGTTGCCATATGGCTGACAATCAGTGTGTTTGTTTCCTCTTTTCGGATTTTTGCTTTGTGTCGACTGAATGATGAGCGAGGGTTCGGTCTCGGTGAACGTGGGTATAAAACAGAGGCAATATGAAGCAGTAGCGATCTACACATGCCAGTCGACATGGAAACCTCAGAGGGAACACGAGGAGCTATTATTGCCCTTCATAACGAAGGGTTCGGCGTCACAGATATTAGCCGGCGGGTTGGTGTCCACAGGAACACCGCTGCACGATGGATTCGGCGATACCTCGAAACTGGTGCTACAGACGACAAGTCTCGGAGCGGCCGTCCACGCTGCACCACCCCTCAGGACGACCAGGTTGAGTGGTTTATTTGGTAGCATAAATTAGTGTGGCAATATTCACAAGTATCACAAATAATTTTTGTTAACAGGGAGCTCCTCATATTTCATACTGTCTATTTATCACTTCCCGACCTTATTTATAACGGTTTGTTTCACTTGACCAGGCCATAGTATGCAGCTCAGCAGGATTACAGGGCTGCCAACATACGGCTGGAACAACTCGCCTTTCCCAATACCTATCGTCACTCGTCTCAAATTGTTCACACTGCAGTATGCACAGATACTTTTTGTTGCGAGTGTACAGCTTAGTGTGTTTGAATTAGGCAAATATAATAGCATGTTGACAGTTACAACTAAAATAATTAGATACTTCTCTAAATGGACTGTATTGTTGCATCTTTTTTATCCATGGTCACGTTGGTGTGAACTGCTGCACTCCTAGCCTTGTATGTCAGCACGTCAGCTAGAACACTGTCAGCCGTAGCCTCTGTGCTGTTCCTCCCGGGTCCATTACCAAGTCCTGTGCCGGTTAGGTGGATTCTCGATCTTTGAAATTGTTGAGATGGCGCCAATTTACCACCTGTGCCGTGTGTATATACAAGACCCCACGCTTGACATCCAGTGTATACATTCCCGACATTTGTTCCGGCCGGCAGTCCGGCACTTTCATACTACATATGTGTATGTTGCTCTATATTGTCTTCATGCCGATTATTAGTATAAATACTTGTAAATAGACATCCTTTGTTCCAAATATCCATAATCTTATTCAATATCCTTGGTCAGAGTGAAAGTGTTCCACCTGACAGTAATCATTAAAAAAACGAGAGGGCGTTAACATCTAAACCCTCGACAACTATGGTATTGTAATCATAAACTACTAAGTAATGCTGTGTGGGTCTTAGTGCTGAAAGCAAAGACAAAATCTATCAGTCGTTGACGCCCTTAGTCTGTTACTCACCTTGATGAAATATACATTGAAGGCTTTTCATATTTGCCATGTGATAAACCCACACTACATACCCACCACACCCCCAAACACACACACATACACATACACACACACA